TTTTAAGTAAAAGTGTGCAATATACACCTTTTTTTCAGTATGTGGTAGTTGCCGAGTTGAAATAATGAGGTTGATTTTAGCACATCTCAGTTAATATAATTAATATTCCACAAATGATTATGGCAAATCTATCATTGCATTGTGAAAGATACACGGTTCACGTAAAACGTAAGTTAAGGTGACTTAATGCTTAACAGAACGAATGGACGTTTTATGGGCTTTTTGTATTGTAATTCAAATGCATGCAAATTTAGGTTATTGTTCTGGAATGATGGCCACTCGCGATTTGTAGGTAAACGATCTTATATATACTTATATAATCAATATAAGTAAGGTACACGCTTAATCAAAATACGAATTTAATAACAAATCATTAGAAGTTATAAAACGTTTGAAGTAGAATCAATCAATTAAAGATTCCAGAGGCTAATCTTTCGTGACACATACGGGTACTTCGTTTCTATTAGTAATAATGGTGTCAATAAAATCTGTTAAGGAATAAAACGCATTAAGTAAACGATTTACCGAATATTGATGACCCGAATTAAAAGAAATTAGAAACAAGTAATGCAACAATTTACGAAGACACCCACACTTTTAACAATTTCAGTTCTTTATTCTTCACGGTATTTGATTGTGGTCCCATCTCTTGCTACATGCTTGGTCTTGGTTCGAGGTCAGGGTCAGGTAAGGTCATTTCCCACGATAGCCTCACTCGGCTTAGCAACTTCAGAGTACAGAATTATAATACAAATTCCATGTACAAACATAAAAGTTTTACCTACATTTACAATTAGCCTGTCATGTTCTTTTTGGGATCCTTACTCCTTATGAAAACTGTTTTGCTTTCATTCTAATTGTAACCAGTATTCACCACAATCGTTGTCGGGACAACGTCCTCTTCCTGAACAATACCGCCAAGTTTATTAACTACTAGAACCTTGTTTATTACGTAAAAATAATGACACACGGTAAATAAACAAAGCTGATACGAATCTACATCCATGAAATTTTTTATTTTTGTATAGTATGTATTGGCGAAATTAATGTAAATCGTATTAGACCTGTTCGACGCGTACAGAAATTTTAATCCGAAAACCCCGTCATTACTAAATCTATGCATTACAACATTATGAGGGAATTGAAAGTAACTTCTCCGCGAAGTTGTTTTACAACCGGTTAATGTTCTAATACATTCATAAACTTTTCGCACTTGACATACCCTACACACAACAGTAGTGTTGCAAAAAATTGTTTGGAGCGTAATATACCACCTCTAAGTCTGTATTTTCGAAGTGCAATTCTACTGCCTGCATGGTATGATAAAAAACTGCCAGTAAAATTGTAGCGTATTTGAAACATACCGAAAGTCTGCTAATGAATGCACAACCTGTTTCAAATGGAATTAATTGCCTTTCTCTTTCAGAAAAGATGCGGGTGATTATAGCATAATGCATCATCAAAAATACAAGTCACTAAACGGAAGAACAGTTGAAAAAGTACCCATGTATGACAGGTTAAAAATGTTAAAAATCTCTTGCAAGTTTCTGACATTTATATGTCATGTGATACGCCATCCATCTCCCAAAGTTGCTCTAGGGGAGAGGAGGAACAATGATTAGATGCACTTAGTATTGCTCTTCAATTGTTTCCACTGATCTTTCGGTGATACTCTCGCCTAATGCCCTTCTCACCCCCGGCATCCCACACTAGACGTAATTCCTATTAGGAAAATAGGTGTATAGAAGGATTACTCCATTTTATTATAGATACTTTCAGAAGTCTTGAGGAAATATCTAGCACTGTAACAATAAATTAAAAAAATGTTATTTGTTTTTGAACTTGAACTTCAAAGAGACATCGGAAGTAGGAAATAGTCTATAATCAATCAATCAACTTTGCCACAATTACAAAACTTCGTACAATTTAAATTATAACAAAAAAATCTAAAATGAATTTTAGAACATTACTCCTGCTTCTCCCTAATCCTTTTCACCTCCTTGTAATTCCATAGCATGTGTTAGATGTCCCCTTCTTCCTCCCCATAGGTTCTACATTTTCTTTCTTCTTCTTCCATCCTTTCTCCTATTCCTCTCCCTCTTTCGATCTGTCCGTCCGTATCCATTCCTTTCATAAGTATTTTTTTCGTATTTCGTCTCACATTCCTTTTACGTGCATCCTCATTGTCAAGTATTCTTTGCCAATTCTCTTCCTCTCGTCGAGCCCACGCCCTGCGTCCCAACGCTATCCTTATCTTCTCCACGTTCTCTCGTCTAAAATACAATTCGGTGTCTTTGTATTCCTTCTTGTTCATCCCTTCCACCCCTCTCACTATTGCATCGAACAGGTATTTTCTTGTTATAAAGTGATCTCTCCTATTCCTCACACGTATCTTATCGCCACCACCCCCTTTTTTCTTAGTGCTCTTAGGAAATAGTCTATAAGGAGTTTAATATTTTGCTTTAAATGTCGATTATATATCTTTTCAATGGTTATGAAACTTTATAATGCGTTATAGTATTGAACCTTGCAACAAGAAAAATTTGGAGAATATTTAATACTTAGTGTCTCCTTAACTATTTCGATAACGAAAAATATTTGGGAGGATTTAATGATGGAGTGCTGATCAGTTCTGGTCAGGGGGTAATCACCAGACCTAAAATTTGTACAATACTTCCCCTTCGGGGGAAGTCCTCCAGTACTTCCTCTTAACTTCACTATACTTCCCCGTACTTCCCTTTACTTCCTCATACTTCCCCGTACTTCCCAGTACTTCCCCGTACTTCCTTGTACTTCCCCCAAACTTCCCTTGTACTTTCCCGAAATTCTACTGTAAGTAGACATTGATATAGACTTTAGATTTGCTTCTTGAGTGTTATACGTAGTAACGCTTATAACGTGTCCACGAAAATGCATTACACATGCGAATGGATGTGAAATGCATACTATACATGAAATGAAAAATTAGATAAGTGTTAATCATTATTTATTTTCACACTTACCTATTTAATATTTACCTTTGTATTTACATGAGGTTTGAAAGAATTTTTAATATGAAAGAAATTAAGACATAAATAATTGTCCTGCCAGCATTTATTCCAAAATTTTATAATGAAAACATATGTACGGAACAATAATTTATAGATGGATACTAATTTATCGGTAATCACGCAAACCGTTACCTAAAAGTATTCCGACTCCCATTAATAATTGAAATCTGAAAATGTGCATACTAATATATTTTTCCATGATCTATCGAAAGAAAATATTATCATCATTGTGTCACTTCCAGTTTTAACGGATGTGGATAGCTTTTAAATAGAACACCCTATATTTTATTTCCGTCATCTACATGAAGATCTACGTCGTTTGATGCCACATTTCCCTATACCCAGCATCAAAGGTTTTCAAGGTATTCAAGATTTTTCAAAATTTCTGTTTAAATCATTATTAGGTTAGGGGTTGATATTATTGATATTTTATGTGATTATGTAATAGTACATTATATACCAAGGTAGAGAAGTCTAGTATTATTGCCTAAGCACGAAGATTACACCCTGAGGCGCTTGCGCCGAGGGATGTAAGGTGCGTAATAGACTTCTCTATCGTGGTGTCTTAAATTGAGTAGGATAACATGGCTATCTTTGTTATTATTATACTTACAAATTCGGTTAAATTGGCAAAGTTTACGTGTAGTCTTTGATGTTGATGCATATTCCGATGCGATATTTTGAAAAAAATAATTCGTTTCGTAGTAGGTAATTGGAAAAATGTGAAAATCGTTTCAAATAAAAGTTGCAAGATTCGATCGGATAAATTCAACGGATATTCAATAGAATTTTTTTTCAAAATGGCGCTTTTCGAGATATTGACATCAACTTCCTTGTTTTGAATGGACGTGGGTGGAAGTAACAGTCAAGGAGGCCGTATTTTCTTCTGCTATTGAGATATTTTCAAAGAGTAGTTTCGTTCGAATTTTTTTGAAATGTGATAATTGTATGTAATTTCTCTTGAAATGGCGGATGGTGGCAATTATTCATTTTAGAGAACTTATCTGAACGTTTATTGAGCGAAATTTCAGGTTGTGATTTCTAAAATTGACAGCGTGACAGTTCTCATTATTGACTACTGGTTAATAATGACCACATTATTAACTACTTTGAACAAGTGGCGAGAAAGCCTGCTTTACAAGTGGAAAAAAGGTTAATAATTATGTTATCAGGCGCTAGTAGTGAAACAACAGGTTTTGATTTTAGGTATCTATATAGATAATCACAATCATAGGTGTTGACTTTTTTGGAACGAGGCGGGATTTATGCACTCAGAAATAACTACTTTATTACTTTTTAAGTGTTTACCAGATTTTACCTCTCCGGTCACCTTCTGTCACATTACGCATCATATGAACAAATGAGTACTTCCTCGTTACTTCCCCGTACTTCCTCGAACTTCCCCGTACTTCCCTGGACTTCCAGTACTTCCCCGAACTTCCCCGTACTTCCCTGTACTTCCCCGTACTTCCCTGTACTTCCCCGTACTTCCCTGTACTTCCTCATAACTTCCTCCATTCTGTACAATTACTTCCCCTGGTGTTTACCCCCTGGTTCTGGTGTATACTGGCCTACACAACTTTTATCTCAAACATGTGTTAGTAGGTAAAGATTTGGTCTTTCGATGATCTCTTAATAAATCTGAAGAAGTCAATTTTTTCGATCATAAGAGTTGTGCGAAGTCTACCCACCATTGCTTCACAATTCGTTGTCGGAAATCAAAAGATCTTCTTTGGTCGAACATGCCAATTTTGTTCTGAAGGTAAATGAAGGCAAAATAGATCAGTATTCAGTGATCCTACATCTTCAATTTATCCAATTATACCCAACACGATGAAAAACAAACATCGAAATGGAGTTAAGGTTACACATCTACAAGGGGAAGGTCGGGAAATTATTTTTTAAAAAACAAGGTTATGCGTTTCATAGAAAACAAAACGGACCGATAGGAAGACCTATGATAACCTCTACAACCTTGCCTTTATTATAGTGAAACGCTATATAGAGCTGATAGAAAGATCAGATCCATGGGCTGTAAGAGGATAAAGTGAATTGTGGCATATTTTAACCAAAACGAAAAAAATACTTTTTATGTATCTTTAGGAACAAAAAATTCTTTGCTTGATTGATACATTCGGTTCTAGTTACTTTTTTCTTTATTTGTGCAACTAATTATTACAATAAGTCGTCGTCTGGTGTTGTTTGATTAATTTATGTTCATTTTAAAAATCAATTTAGCACTTTTCTGTAACTCAACAACGAATTGTGTTAAAGTTAGGTGAGTGACATGAATGAAAGAAAAAAAAATTAAAAGAAAAAATGTACTGGGCATTAAAAAACAACACTGACCGGGATTCGTTTTCTGCAGGAGAAATAATAATCATATGTAAGATTGTAGCATCTCTGAGGGTAGCGCACAGACCATTAATCAAGGCTTACGCCTGTCTGACATCATTTATATGAATTCTGACGTTTGAATTAACATTGATTGGCCGCGATTGGTGTTCGACTTTTCAATTTTTTTTAATGGCATGTACTCATTTATAAGATGAAATGTACTTAATAAATTATGTAAACAGAGGAATTTATTAGAAATTGTTAAATTGTTGGTCATTGGTGTCGGACTTTTTGAGTAAATTTATGGCTAAATTGTGAATAATGACCGTATAGCGCCACTAGATAATTGCAATTATGGAGAATTATGATAGTTAGGTTATAACATTTAAACAATTTAAATGTTTATGTTTTACTGCAATTTCAATTAATTTGCAGAGAATAACAGATGACATGGAATGGTAGAACTTGTTCTTACTGCAAAGTATAAATGGTTACACCCATGGAATGCAGTTTTGTTTTGACATACTTCAACTTATATTACGGGCTATATTCCTTTCAGTAGAAAAGACTTAAGATGGCAAAATCGTATTTTCCGTGCACTACCATTGCAGACAATACCGATTCTTATGTAAGATCGCGTTTTCAAATTATATTTACGGGTGAAAGTTGGTTAGCATGTTATCGGTTTCTTTAGCTAATGTGGGAATCGTAGTCTCGATTAGTAATCGCTAGTATGATCCTAAACGCGTTGGATAAGATTGATGTAAATAGCAAAAAGTGTGAAATGGGACATCGCATCCATTTTGGGCTAATTCAACAACCAAATCCAACGAAACAATCATACCGATTTTAATTCGGATAAATGTTAAACGTACGCCCACAAAAAAGAAAGTATACTAATATAATATACTATTGTCATGAATTCCCCCTCAAATAAATACCGATTCTGATCTATAGTGGCTGATTACTTTTTATTTTTTAATTATTTCGTTATTACAACCTTTACAACGTTGTATAACGCAAAGTCTCGATGTTATAGAAAATTAACTTTCAATTTTTTCGTCGATTCATAATAAATAAGCATTCACTTTCAGCCAATTGTTAATGCATAGCCAATTTGACATTCAAGCGTAATATCCAGGAAACTTTTATTCGCGGTGCCAAGAAAGAAAGCACTATTTATGGTGGTATTAAATTTTCCTAATGAACGTTTATCCAACTAAACCTTGGTGTCGGAGTTCAACTTCAATTTATTTTACACTATCATCATTTCTTTTCGCAATTTCTCTTTCCGTGGATGGGTAGATAATATGGTAACATTTTTAACGACCAGTGATTTCTGACGTAAACGTTGAATAAATAAAGAATTTATTATTTATTTCAATCATTTCTTATAGATGTTTTGTTTATTTTCGTCAATGTTCAGCTGAAGCGAACTGACGCTCGCCCTAGGTAATTTCTTCTTTGTCTACCGTAACATTCTGACCAATTGCATTTATAGGACTACTGAGCGAGACAAATCAACCAAAGAGCTGATTATTGTTGAAATCATTTTATACGATTACAACATCCAAATAAATTTGAATAAAATAGGTAATAGCAATAAAATAGGTAATAGCATCATCCTATGTTGCCTTTCCTACTACATTTAAACAGAAAATGGAAATTACTCATTTGGTAAGTACAAATTGAGTTCTAGACGATTTTTATGTGATACAGCAGAATTTATCTGGTTTTCGTTTTGCCACATGATTGATTGCACAAATGCAGTTGCACTTGCATTTCATAGACGTCACTTTGCATTTACTGTATAGTTATGTGGGTCCGGATCGAATATACACCGGAGTTGATGGAACAATCGGAAGTCGACGGCAGAATAGGGGGATAAATTTTTAGTGGGGGTGTACTTTTCGTAGCCCGTAACCACAGACTTGCTCAACTGACGAGCCTGTGTGTCTACCTGAGCTGAATCATACCAAGCTGAATGGTGTAGTTTAGATAGCTTTCGTGGTCGAGTAATGCAAAAAAATACTCACAAGAGCCTTTCTAGGACACGTGATCAACAGAATGACAGACATCATCATATTCTTATTTTGCATACAAACGTTACTTTTTATACAAGCGCATATTATTCAGGGTATGGTTGTCCGTATTTTTATCCGCTCGTTCGACTCTGTTCGCTATAACTTTTAGTTAAGATCCCCAGATACTTTTATAGCTTTTAATTTTTATTGGTTCGTCCGTCTGTCCCTGTAGCCCCAGAAGATCTATGTCTTCCTCTGTTACGATGACACTATCATACTTGTCAACATCTGAGCCAGTAGTTTCCATAATTATTATGTCTGCCCTTCTACTGCCTGCTTGACTTGGATCCCCTCGAGTTCAATTTCTATCTCCCGAATCGTTATTGTATTTTGCCGGCGAAATCGTGCTGGTTGAGAAGTGCAGTAAAGAACGACGATATCGTTATTGCTTTGATGCTTTGGTAGCCTATTCCAACAGGATAACCCACTATGGTATTGCTCCATAACCCACGTAGTTCTGGCAGACTTCCTGAAAGTGCCTTCACTTGATTTGGTCTAAACAACCCTATGCAACAGAACCCAACATCAAATGACGGAAAAAAATGCACAGAATCTTTTTTCTGCCCTTATGCATTCCTTCTGCTGTGAAGAGAGACGTTGGGAAAGAAGCGAGTAGGTACATACTTGAGCAAGTTTCTGAGGTCAGCCTCTGATTGTTTGATTATGCACCCTCATTGGAATAGAGTGAGTAGGCCTACTGTGAACTTTTCGTTCTTAATTTTCGGAGAAACAGAACCACACTTCAAGTCTTCATTTCCTTTATCCAAACGGGTTTTCAAGCAGGTAATACCAATCGACCGGGCTATGTAACAGTTGACAGTTCCATAAAAATGGCGCAGTCAATCATCTCAACTTCCATTATTACACCGATGAAAACCCGCATGCCATGTGAATTGCGCATTACCAGCAAAGATGACCAGTGAATGTTTGGGATAGCCTAGTGGAAAAACATTTCTAGATCGTTACCTCTTCGTGGAACCCTTAGACGGCAATAGCTATTTAAAGTTCCTTCGTGACAACTTGGTGGAACTCTTGGAAAATGTTTTTGTAGCCGCTCGGCGATAGCTTCTGCACATTACAGCCGTGCCGTTCGGGAATACTTTGGAAAAAGGTTTCCGGATTCAAGGATTAGGTCTAAAGGACGCTACTAACGACTGTCGAGGATATGCGAGGGAGAATTTATGCGGCTTTTCGTAGTGTATGATCTGAAGTCCTAAGGGCGGTGTTTAGCGCCTGCGGATCCAGGTGGTGGTTATGCTAGATTTGCTAACCCCTTTGTTCGTGTATCATTTTCACATTAGTAGTAATCTACCCAACACTTTTTTAATAAGTAACACGTTAACCATATATTTTTTATTTTTTAGAAATTGAGTTGGAAGAATTGAAATTTTAAAATTTTTTTAGTGGAAATTTTGTAGTTTCGGCTATCCACAGATATAGTTTCTTTAGGTGGGTACCATTTGGAATTAAAAAAAATCAAAATCAAAAATTACCTTTTTTCGATAAAGTACCTAAAAAAATTATGTTAAAGAGGAAGAGGTCTTAGACATAGCCTCCGCCGCGATTTCCTTTCTTTAAAAAAATTCGAAAAATATTTTATTAACATGGCGACGGTAATTGTGCACAACTCTGCTCCAAAGTATCTTTTATGGTAAGCAATTATGTTCCGAGGAGTGTTAGATGCTACACCCTGTACATATACAGTATACACTTACACAGTATGGGAAATAAAATTCTTCGCAAAGGATGATGCATGGACCTTCAGTTACCCATAACTGAGAAACCACTCATGCTATTTACTGCGATTTCCCAAAATTTTCAGTTGCACCAAAATATTTTCATTTCCGCTTATTACGGAAAATGGAACATGTTTTTTTTATTGAAGTCTTTGTCATTTCGAGAATAAATTATACATGATGTCATCATAACATTTTTAGCGATAACATGAGATTATTATTCTGCGAAAAAGATGTCTATTACAATCATAGTATAAGTATAAGTTGGGAGTAATTAAAAGTCAATTTTTTAATGGGATGATAACCTAATCACTTACAAATTAAATTTTCTTTTGATGGACGCATCTTTCGACTGTTACTTTTGTTCTTTTTTAAACTCATCGCCTGTAAAAATGAAGATAATTCTACATTTTATTGTATATTTATTGTATATTATCCATCGATTGGACGAATTTTTTATCCCAGACAGGTTAGCAGTTAGGGTCCTCATCCATAGTCCCAAAACTGTTCACTTTTGAGGTTTTGGTGGAGTGATGTTTTATCCAAAATAAATGTTCCATCATGGTGACCGTTTGAGAATCATTAAGACATTAAAAAACAAGGCAACATGTTTGTATTTAGTGAACGACTTAATGTTGAAATACTTCAAAATGCATGCAATAAAATTAATTATTTCTTCTGCTTAATTGTCATGATTTGTGTCTCTAAAGTACGCAAGACAGTACCCAAACTCTGAATAAATTCTATATTTTACCCAACGAAAAAGATCAGGTGGGCATTTCGGACTAATTAACTTCCTTGGGTGACTCGTACATCAGGGTCTTTACAGTCACTACTTTCCTTTAAAAAGATGCCTCTACGTAGGCAGTTTGTTTAAAAACAGTGTTTTTAATATATCCATACGAGGCCCTCCCATGATTAGGACAGTGACTTATACTTCTTTCCTTATGATTGCAGCCGTTCAACGAGGAAGAGTACCACCATCTCAACCTGCGCTACCTGGATTACCAAATCAATTTCTAAATTCTTCAGATTCAGTAACGACTTCGTTAAGTAACCATTCGTACCTCAGCAGTTATATATCATTACTATTACGAGCGGAACCCTATCCGACAAGTCGCTATGGCCAATGCATCCAAGCGAACAACATTATGGGCATTGACAATATTTGCGAATTAGCTGCTCGCCTACTGTTTTCGGCAGTCGAATGGGCGAGAAATATACCATTCTTTCCCGACCTTCAAGTAACGGATCAGGTAATTGTCATTTGCTTTATTTCGATTAGCATTTCATTAGCGAGACGTACCGTTACGTTTACTATAAGTCGACATTTGTAATGAAAAGACCGTATGCTATGCACAATCAACGGGTCATCATCTTGGGTTAGAGGTCAACTCGTACGTATTCCATCGTAATCTCAGCATCTATGATCCATTTACTTTTATTGCCGTACGTTTCATTTTTTTTTCTGCCACAGTATAATTTTTGTTTCAGGTGGCACTGTTACGATTGGTGTGGTCAGAACTTTTTGTCTTAAATGCGAGTCAATGTTCAATGCCGTTACATGTAGCACCTCTAATAGCTGCAGCTGGACTTCATGCATCGCCAATGTGTGCAGATCGGGTGGTACAATTTATGGATCACATTAGAATATTTCAGGTATGTTACCATTTTCCTTCGTGAACGCAATTTACTCGGCTTTTCAGGAACAAGTGGAAAAATTAAAGGCGCTGCACGTCGATTCGGCGGAGTATTCGTGTCTGAAAGCTATTGTGTTATTTACAACTGGTAAGTGTATTTTCCATTTTTATTGGTAATCTTAAAAGCGTATTAAATTACTTATATCGCATTAATTACTTCGTATATTTATTACTTTGACTGATAACTTATTTACGATCATGCAAGATTTATGGCGCTGTTTCTTCACCTACGTAAAAAATGGAATGATTTGATAATATATGTAAACGTTTTCTCGACTACGATTCCATTGTTTTTAGGAGACATTTGTATATAAGATTTCAACAATAGTAACAGTGGTATCGTGCAGAAATGCAGCTCGGCCATTCGATCTAATATTCGCTCTTTGTACTTATGTTATCTACCGGAACTAGACCATCGTGTCCTTTCAAAACATGATACACATAGAAATGCGTGACTTGGCAGTAAAGGGTTGAAAGCTTCATTTTCAAACTCAATATGGTTATGCGAATATTTTCATTTTCCTTCAGTCACAATCGCCTTACTAGTACTTCTTATCTTGTCTACCTTACTCACTGAAACAAGAAAAGCGCCCTATATTGATGAATGTTGACCTTAAAATGTGATGCATAAAGTGTTTGCAAAAATTACATTTGTTTCCTTTACTCTTGGACACTCATTCTGAGGTCACTTCGCGCATAATAAACACTTTTTTTAAATAATGGTGTCATACGTATTACAACAGATTGTGAATTCAACATTTGGTTAGTCCTTACGTAACTTATTTACTAACTTGTAAAACGTATTGTGTGTCTAAGCGGTATTATTACGTACATTTGGTAAAGATTATCTCCATGTATATCAATTAAAAACGTCTATAGGATTGGATAAAAACAGGCTTTATAAAATATAGAAGTATGGTAAATTTTTTCGTGGTTTCTGATCTTCCACAGCGTCTCCTTAAGAATACGATGGAGCATTTAGACATCTCATGATGGCGTCAAATTTAAGGGTTGAAGAATCGCGTACGCCAACAATAAAGATAAAGATTGGTTTTAGTTGAGTCAAAAGAATGTGTTTATGAAATTGAAATACGATTTTGAAAAAATACTAACGACGTAGACTCGGAATACTAGACGCCGTTTTGAAACTGAAAGGTAAAATGTATACGTAATACAATTTCTCAGTACTTTAGCTATCAATATAATAAATAAAAAATAAAAATAAGTGTTAGCGTATTTTTCTTTGTAAGATTTTGTTTGGAAGGGATAGCGGAAAAAAATGTTAGAGGCGTACTACATTATCGACAAAAACTTAGTATCTCCCATAAACTATTTTCTAAATTTTTTCCCATTGGACGTCTCTGGAGTGTACTACTCCATGGCGACAACCCACAGTCTTGTTTACTCTTATCTGAGATTAGAGCTCTTATTACAAGGAAAAAATAAAAGTAAAGTTACAATTACTGGGCCTATAACATGTAATCAATTACTTATTGTGGTTTGGTTACTACCTACTGATAAATGTCAATTGCTCCCCAGCTCTGTTTAGGAAGAAATCAGTTTTATTTATAGATATACCCAACCCATTAAGTAAAATAATCGATAAAAACAGCAAAATTTACCAAGTTCACCAGAACCAAATTGGTGCACTAGTATGCCTGTATAGATACAGCGCCCTAGTAGCAAACAGTAACGATGAAATCATAACTTTATCGCCATCACCGACATAACAGCGTGGTATGTGTATAAATAAATACAAGCTTGTAAACTATTCTTGGGGTACAGGTTAAAACTAGTTAACAATCGGTAATCAACGTGTTAAAAGTCTGTTGGTTTCATTATTAAGGAATATCTAAAAAATGACAAACACAATGTTTTACATTTTCAGGTGGAAATAATTAGCGTAGAAATCATTTTGATTACCACTACCTTCACTATTGAGAAATTAAAAAATTAAAGACTTGTGTTATTTCTCAAAAACTGTGGCGGATAAGAAAGTTATTTCTGTGCCAATTTCTACGTAAAAATTTATAAAAAATAATAAAAATGTGCTGTACACTGAAAATAAGTCACTCTGTATAGGAATCAGGGTCAGAACGAATCCTCAAATAATTGATACGAATCACAGAAGGGATTTTGATACTCAGTTCGTTTTGTACTTTTTGAATCGGAGGTATCCACGGTGTGATGAAACTTAAAATGGGGTTGTGTAGAATAAAGTCGTTAAAATAACCAACAAAAACGTATAATGTTATAATTTTAATTGCCATCGTTTTCCCGTAAGTAAAAATTAACTGTGTATCATATAACTTAACCTAGCTGTTTCAGTATGCTGTATTCAAATATTGTTATATGTATAACTTCTAGAATGTCTAAATTTTAATCTGTAATCTCCTCAAGGTATTAACTGTAAATTTCATAAATCTGTAACAGATATTATAGCCAGAAGATGACCGTTGGTCGAAACTAGTCGCTTTTACGTCTTGTCTAATAAATTAGCATGGGGAAGGTTTTATGTTTTTGTTGGTTATTTTAACGACTTTATTGTACTTTTTTAATGATTCGAAACCCCGGATTCGGGTCCCTTTTTCGAATCATCAGTGGCAGAAAGCTTCACCTTCTAAAAGTCATTCAAAAAAGGTGTTTATACATAACAAATGCACATCCTGCACCTCAACAATTACTAAACACTGTCAGAACTTCAGCTATTAATATTAACAAGTTGCATTGTGTGCAAAAAAATTATTGCATACGAATATGGTACTTACACAAAGTTGTTTATAAACTTTGAAAAAACGGCATACCCTCAACGTATCCCTGGACATTTGCTCAAAGACTAGAAGACTAGCGCTAAGACGAACGCTCCGCAGTTTTTCTTGTAATATAACAGACAACGTAAATTTATAATTTTTAACCTCACCAATAAGAAATTGGGAGGTTATTGAAATCACTCCAAATTTCGATTTCGAGATTTCACCGGATCTTTACGTTTCAATGTCTCAGGAGTCCAAAAAAGTGCTTTTTTAAAAAATGTCGGTATGGTCGTATGTGCGTGCGACATGATTCTTGTACACAAAGTTCAGTCGAATCTACTCGACCGATTTTGGAAACGATTGGAAAATGGGAAATATCCTGTTGTGTTTGATTCAGAGAGGGAATTTGTGTTCATATTTTTTTGAGTTGTTCTCGTTTTTAGCAAGAAATTATAATTTTCTGCTGTTCATCAAAAATTAGAAACCTAAAAAAAGTTATTTGATCCCGTTCGATACAAATTATGTGCTGATGTATCGACCTTAATTTTATACTGAGCGTTTTTGCTGTATCCGAGCTTTATCATGCAAATGTTGCGCTGTTACATTTTATCATTTTATTCAGCAAGGCACATTTTGCGGTTTTAGAGATTGTCACTTTTTTAACATTTAAAATATCTATGACGTCATAGTTCAATAATGTTACATCAATCACTGATTCACAGTTTTAAAGAATTTCCTGTTGTATATTTAAAACCAAGTTGCAATCCTTTTTAACATTAACAGACTCATTTCTCAAGAAACATACATTTTGAACTACATAGCTAGGTACTATTATATACAGGACGTTTTTCTTTGAGAGCTTTTTGGTAATTTGTATAGGTTATGGAAATACTCTAAATGACGGATCCATGTAAATTCCAAATGGCGACACTTTCGGAAATATCGGAAATAGAGATCTGAACCTTATAATCTATATTGAATGGGAATTTTTTATTGCATTTTTAGAGTATCTGTGAAATTTTTCTACATTATTCGTATCGTACTTAATATTTTTAATTGTTTTCACTTTTTTTAAATAAATAGCGGATGTAGAGGATAGGCACTTTGAAAATTCATTACCAGAAACTGGTTGCAGTTATAGCAACCAGCGTTATTTTTCAATGCAATATTACGTTTTATGTGAAATTTGGATTCTCTTGATACGCACACATTGATATCGACAGTTTTAAAATTATTTAAAACTTTTTTGGAAAAAATTAGTGGGTGCAGGAAATACTTCGAAAATTTACTAGAAAACCGTTGCTTTATCATTGGTATTTGTTTCGCCCCCAATCACGAAATTCAGCAGATGAAACAAAAAGGACGCTGTAGGAATTTTGAAGACTAAAGATCTTAAAAATATGGAAGGGGTTTCTAGTTCTTTGTAATTATGTCAATTACGGAGTATTGATCAAGCACTTGTACCTACAATAGTGTCTTTATACGTGAAACAAATAAAAGCGTTCTGTCAAACGGCCAACAAAAAGAGTCCCATTTTCAGGCATCATTTTTCATGAATTATTATTATCCCTTGGAAAGTTAAATATTTCAAATCGACGTGACGTATAGACATTCATTATTCTTTAATATCTACAGATCAAAATTTCATGGAAGATTCAATGATCTTTTTAACTGGAGATTATGAGGACTGTCTCTACGCCATCTCCACATCGCATATTGAAACATTTCCCTGAACATTTCTAACTATCTAAGATTCTAAGGGATAATAGAAATTGTTCCTTTTCTGTGTCGGTTCATCATTTTTAAAGGTTACTATGAATTATTGCGGTTACATTATTTGTCATAATTGAATATTTTAGGGAAAGCGAAAAGCATAGTTGCTTTGGTTTATTCAAGGTTTTGAAATTACAAAATCCGCAACATCATAGCAATTTCTCACTTTGCACCTAACTCTAATACGTGCCAGAGCTCATACAATTTAGCAAAGTCTGTTCACATTTTGGGGCAGGATAGGGTGTAGGTTACAATAAACTGTTACGAATTTCGAAGCGCATGACTATTTCCGCATGTCCCAATCCAAGTTTTGCGAAATTTCCCTATCTTCATGTAGAAAGTTTTACATTCATTGATTAGTTATTGACTTTTTGAGTAACTGTACAGTATGTTCCGAGATGAGGCTACTAGCTATAAATAATGGACCTTTTTTTTCATTTTGCGAGAAAAATTCATTCTTTATCAAAGTCTTGCAGTTTTTGACCAGATCCAAATATTGACAGGTAAAAGTAAGCAATCTCTGTACCATATCACTTCACAAGATAAATTTCCTGCTTTAAAC